ATACTGTGTGTGTGTGTGTGTGTGTGTTGTGTGTGTGTGTGTGTGTGTGTGTGTGTGTGTGTGTGTGTGTGTATATAATTCTATTAAATTTTACGTACAATTATAATTTGATGTTAATTTTTAATTGATAAAAACTTTTTATCTTTCTAAGGTGTTTTTTTTAATATGCACATGAAGCTTTAAAAATAAAACTTTTTTTCAACAGCTTTGCACAATAAATAAAGTATAGATCTTATAATCGAACGAGAGTTCGATCCTTATCCGGGGAATTTTTTTTTATATTATATAACTTTTTGTCATATAAAGGAACAAATTAAGCTCAATATTTTATATTTTGTACCGTTATTTATATTATATAAAAAATAAAAAAGATCCAAGAATTGTTAATTCTTATAATTATAGCAAATTTAAATTTTTTACTACAATTGCATGTAAAATTATTGATAAAATATTAACTGCTTTTATAAAAAAATTTTTATGGCAAGAATACAATTCTTAATTGCACATTACAAACGATATAAGTCAGTGCTTTTGAATCCTTAAAAAGAAAAATTTACGGTTTACGATAAATCGTAAAACAAAAATACAGATTCGCTTAAAGAAGAACATAAGAGACAATTATGCAAATATGATGTGTAAGAAGGGTCCATTGGCTCTTGGAATTGAAGTGTAAAAGTTAAAGTAAGTTGTGAATTGTTTGCTGCCCTTTAGCGATAGCGCAATTTGCAAGCAAACAGCCTGTTAAGCTCGATTCACCGCGAGCTATATTGTTTCCCGAAGGTATATCATCATTGTTTATAGTATTTTTTAAAATAATAATTCTCTGATGTTCTAATCTTTTTTAGGAAAAGACATTTTGCACAAATCTTAATAAATTGAAAAAATTGAAAGATAACGAAATAATTTATCACGGATTAGCACGCCTTTGGCATAATTATATTTTTTTATATCTGAAATCATATAGTGACTAATTGTTGCTAATACATGACTTATGAACCACTATTTTTATATATATTTGTAAAATATGTTATTATTAATAGATAGAGACAATATACGAAAAGAGTAGATTTGTTAAAATATTTAAAAATTTTATATGAGTCTGAAAATTTTGTTGGATCATTAAAATATTTAAGTAGAACGTTTAAATTGATTACTAAAATATCAAAAATTTTTATAGTGTTATTATCACATTGAAACATTCCGCTTAATTATTTGAACAGCCCAAAGAAAATATTTTGAGATTTATTTTCAGATACCTAACCAAGATTCAGATTTGCATCTAAGCAAATTTTTAGATCAATAAAACGATTCTTTCATTCGTGTAGTTTTTATTTACGTGAATAAAAACAGCAACAAAGAGACAATAGAGGCATCGTTCAACAGACAGAATTTTAAATATCTTACAATTTTTTATTTTTCTTAATTAAATTTACAAATAAATTTTTATATAAATTTTAAATAGGTCCTTTTCATTTTAGTAAAACCATTCTTTTGTGATTTCTAGAAATTGCGAAATCCCAGATAGATCAGTGTAAGAGCGGTTGATTCCGCGTTGATTCAGCTTGCATTTACAACGCATTGCATCGAGTCCCGCGATGAAAAGACGTACCGCTTTTTGAATGTATTCCAATTAAAAAGTCGGAGCTTCGTTAAACTCGGTTCTGCTTTCGGGCCGTTGCTCGTTACTATTCTTCTCGTTTTCTCTTTCCACTTCGAGGTCACCGATCCCTCTTAGTAAGCTTCTAGCTTTTGACTTTCATTAAGAAAGAAACAAACGGAAAGAAAGAGAGAAGAAGAAATTGGCGCATGGATGTTTCTCCAGCAATTTGCTGCCTTCTGTCCTAAAAAATTACAAGTGTTTGCTTTCCTTTATGCTTTTTTTCTTTATGCATTTTCTGATTATTAAGTTTCCTACATACATATATTAAAATCTAAACAAAAATATTTGCAATCTTTATTTGCAATCTATTCTAAAACAAAAAATTTAGTTATTATTCTTCCGGCAAAAGTTCTGCAGTGAAAATGAGAGGCATGATACATATTTTGTTAATTTAGATTAATAATCATAGATGGCTAAATAACGAGAAGATTTGTTCATCATTGATACGTTCAATTGGAAATACAAAAAAATTATATGAAACAAACTAAAGAATATATGAGTCTGTATACGAGTCATTTTTTTCCATCAAGTATTTAACGATGCACCATAGAGAGAGAGACACGTGAAGCAAGTCGAGGAGAAATAAGAAGCGCGTGCCCAAGTGCCAACTGACTTACGCATGTACATACACGCGTGTGTGCGCGATTATTCGTCACAATATAATACGCACGTGACTGAAAGCCACTTGTCTCACGTATATCCTAGTTGAAATTCCCTTTCAACTCTTGATGAAGATAATCGTATATCGAACTGGAGACGGACAGATAGACGGATAGATAGACAGATAAATAGATAGATAGATAGATAGATGGATAGATAGATAGGTAGATAGATAGATAGGTCGACACGAATAGTCGCGAGGCTCGCGGTAGCGCACAATAGTCGTATGTTCTTTCGCCGCTATTTAATTTATTTCGCGATAAATCTCTTAATTGTAATTTCCTGTAAGAGTCACGTGCCAGTTCCTCGATGCCTGGCTGATCGAGGACGGTAACAAACTGTTGATTTTGTCACACAGTTGACAGTCTTTTCTTTTGTACTATTCACTCACTTATGATTACTTGTACACTTGTGGCATATTTTATCTTACATATAGGTTTTTGCAATACAATAATATCCCTAGCATACAAAAATATTTTGTATTCGATCACATTAATGTTAAAATATCTTTTAAAACTGATATGTGATTGAATATGAGGAACATTTTTTGTCTATATTCCTCTATATTTCATTTTTCTTTCTTCAACATTAGATCACGTGTTTCTCCATCTATTTCAATTTATTAAGAAATATTCTTTTTTTCTGCTATTCTAGATTAGCTCTTGTCGTTTTTCTTAACTATTCTTTTCAATATTCATTATTCATGAAATCCTTTATTTATCGCATCAATTTTATTCTGTTTTTGGTGACAGCTATTAAATTATCATCAATCAAGATTCCATTTTTTTTTC